TTTTTTTTTTTTTTTTTTTTTTTTCCTCAATCAACTATGCATTTCATTGAACAAGAAAAAAAGGGGAGGCCGGGGGCTAGGTCCCACTTACACGAATTAAACGATATTGACCGATGGAAAAGATCAACGGCCAGCATATCTTAATCCGTGCAAGTGGGACCTTGCCCCGGGAATCCCTCCACAAACAACCCCGGAAATAGTAGCCCCTGGGACCATTACCCAGTTTCTGGTGCAGGCCTTGGGAATTATAGTCCAGAAGCAGAAATGGCCGGATACAGACCGCTGCTCTGACCTTTCCCAACCCTGGGAAAAATAAGAACACCCTCACAGCCTGCAAAGCCACACAATTCAATGAAAACAGAGTTCCAACTATTCAGCACTTCTACAGTCCTACTAAAGCTACTATCGCTATTAGAATTTTCTATACTAAAACTATACTCTTTCTCTCCTTACTGTAAAGGACTAACAGGACTCCAACAAAGGCAATGTCCCTTATCACAGGGGCAAGGACTTGTTATAAGACTTCAAGACGTGAGTACCAAACACTCCCTCCTCGTCTTCCCTCTGCCTGTCTCCTGCGACCGAACTCAAGCAACCGAGTGTTCAGGTTGCAACTTACTCCTATTCATTACTCCTAACTCTGTAACATCCAAGGACCTATATGTAGACGGGGACCTTCTTTGATTTCCAGGGAATGGTCCACCAATTCCAAATGCGCCCAGAGGCCGGTCAGTCCCACCACAGGTGAACAGTAGACTCAAAAGCCCATTGACAGCGGTGACGCTTTAAATCGAGCTTCATACCCCTTTCAGCTAGCCATACTGCTGAGGGAGTGGAAACCAGCGAGACTAGCCAGAGCAACGAGGCTTGTCTCTGGTTCGCTATCAGTTTTAACTGATCCCAACATGCAGATAAGGCACTATCCACTTCTTCTGGTGGAAGAGGAAGCAGTTGGAGCCATCTTTCCCTCGCTATTATCTGTGGGTGCTTCAGAGGTTGATTGAAAGCATACCCAATCTTAATACTAGTAGTGTAATCCACTAGTGTAGAGTTTGCTCCTCTCGTCCCTTTTATCGTCCATTCCCATAGTGCCGGATCCAATTTCAATTGTGACAGCGGCTTTCCCTCGGCAAAGAGCTCACAGGAGACCAAGTCATCAGAACAGGGAGACTCAAGAACTCGGATTTGTTGTAGTTGAGCCCCCACAGGTTGGGGGGGGGGGGGGGTTCTTCGTCCAAATGCAACGTTTTTTTCCCCACCACACTCCAACATTCAAATACTCTTCGCCCGTCTGTTCTAATATTCATCAATTTCCACACCTGGTCAGGTGTCGTGTGTGTTGCGGTAAGCACGTACCAGGTGGATCAACTCCTCTCGGGGAAATGGTTTCTTTCCATTGTACTGGAATGGCTGCCAGAAGAAGTTTTTCTCGAGCTTCTAGGTGACGCACCTGTCCCAGCTTTACTCTCAACATACTGTCAGACTCCCAATCACCTAGCACAGCATCCCATAAGTCTCTCACTCTCAGAGCACCCCGTTCAATCCACGTTCGGCCAAAGCTGGTGGGGGATGAATCAGCTTTGAACCATTCTCCTGATTCGACTCTTATTCTCGGGTTTTCAAAAAGTGGTTGGGCTAATGCTTCCTCTTTTGAGGTGGGTTCTTTCCAAACATGCGGGTGAATCTTTCTCCACGCTTTTATGATGGCCGCCCAGAATGACGATTTGATGTGCCTCCTCTAGTAAGAATACAGCA